CATACACACACACACACACACACACGCACACACACACACATATATAGATATATAAATATAATAATATATAATATCGAGGGCTTACTGCAAAAACCTGCTAAGTGACATTTTTTCAAAAAATAAGATAAACACATAAAAATACAAATTTTATCGAGCTCTATATGCTGGCAAAACCGGCTAAGTGATATGTCAAGCCGTTTAGAATTTATTTCATGGTAAAACCAGTTAAATAAAACTAAACGGCTTAAACTTAATAGCTAAAATAACAAAAACTTCGTTACTAATAAATTTCCTCCTAATGTTAACCTGAAAAATGTTTTAAGCATTCTTAACACCTTTTTGTTTTTGATAGGTTATGCAAAATGTTTTCACATACTTTCAGTAAAAAAATACTAAAAGTACATAAACGCATATGATAGAATAACTTTGTTATCTTGCCATTAAAACTTTACTGCAAAAACCTTCTATATAAGTTTAACTGCAAATACTTGTACTAAAATATTTGATTTGTCTCGGATTGTTAACATGTTAAACCGACTAAACGATTCTAGCTCGTTTGTCAAAAAAATGCAATAAATTATTACATGATACTAGTTAATAAAACACAATCTGACATTGTCCAAAGAATAAAAAACCACTTCGAATCATTTCCTTGTATGGAAGCCAACTACAGTAGAAAAGACACCCAACGCAGATATTTAGATAAAAAACTTAACATTCGAAGTATGCATTTATTGTACAAAGATGAATGTTTTTCGTTGTGATTCTGAGCCAGCTTCTGAAACATCTTACGGGAGAATATTTTCAAATGAGAATAATTCTGATTTTTTGTGCCTAAGACAGACCAATACTTAATTTGTACTAATATTCCCAAGTAGAAACAGAGAAGAAAAGAGAACTCAATTAAGTTTACCCAGAAAGAAAGAAAATTTGCAATTGAGAAAAAGAAAAAGATAAAGTTAGATCAAACACAAATGAGCATTTTAACACAGTAACATTTGAATTGCAAGCAATGCTCTAAATACCTGCCTACGCCGTATGCCTGCTATTCTAGATAGCTGTGTGTATGCAACCTCACCACCTACAAAGCAGCTCTACCCAATAATGCTAAATCAAAGGTAAAAGGAAGGAAAGGTGCCCCCGAAAATGAAACCATACTATTAAACTATCTTTAAAATTGTTTCACTGATAATGTTACAGAAATAAACTTATTTCCAGACACTAGTGGCGGCCAAAACCAAAACCAATTTGTGATTGCTTTGCTTTTTTGGGCTGTCCAAAAATTGATTACCTTAAATTCATATAACAAAAGCATTTAAAATCTGGGCACACGCAAATGGAAGCAGAGCAGAGTCAGAATCAGCAAAAAATACCTCTGTTTATTTCTTGGTGGTGAAAGAATTTAAGTAACACGAGTTCCTTGTTATTCCTAGTTGTTAACATCGATGGCGAGTACATCACTCACCTTCATCACTTCACGGTAGAATCGCTGGAGGACCTACAGTGCTTAAACCCTTCAGCAATTCAATAGTGCCTTCCAACAGATAGGTCTTTAGATGAACATGGACAAAACCAAGATCATATGTAACGTCCACGTCACACCTATGCAGGTAGTTGTTAGGAGCATTAAGCTCGAAGTTGTTGACGAGCATGTTTACCTGGGACAAATAGTCCGACTAGGTAAGTCCAACTTCGACCGAGAGGTCAATCGACGAATTCAACCTATTTTGAGGTATACCTCAAATTATGAAAACAAGATTGTGTAACAAGAGCGTGTTGCCAGTGATGATTTGTGGATCTGAGACGTGGTCCTTCACTGCTGGTCATATCATGATGAAGCTCAAGATCGCTCAGCGAGCTATGGACATGACTATGCTTATGAGTTTCTCTTTCTGATAAACTCATAAGTGATGATGTATGCAGAACAATCAGAGTAACCGACATAGCCCAACGAATTAGTAAGCTGAAGTGGCAATGGGCCGGCCATATAGCTCAAAAAACATTAGTGCCCCTCCCCCTACTAAGGTTTTCGACAATGAAATGAGCAAAAACTTTAACGTAATAGACACTGGAGATGATCCTTGAACTTCCCAATCAGATGGTGCACATAATCACAGCTATTCAACGCGAAACAAGAAGCGACTGACTGAAAATGATTTATCACCTTTAAATCATCAATTTCCAGATCAATTATACCGATTAAAATAATTGCGGCCGAGGAAAAAATATTTTTAAATCTGTGTAGAAAAGAACGAAAACGAAAATTTAAATGTTAAAAAAAAAATTATGGTTTCTTATATTTACGCAGAGACTACACCCACGTCACACCCGTGACGAGTGCTGTAAAGCACCCAAAACGTCGAAAGTTAAAAAATGTTAAATTAAAACGCGATAAAATCCGTAAAAATTAGTTTCATTTAATGTTAAAAAATGTAAAAAGAAATTGCTGGAACCAGCAATAGATGAAAATGAAAGTGGAGAAGAAAAGTGATTACTTAATAATTAAGGTACTTGCTGAAATTAATGAAAATACAATTGATAGTAGTTACACTCCACACTCTTCTTCTTCACTTTCAAACTGGTTATATCATAAATATTATAAGGCAAGAAAAATAATATTGCGAATTTAACTTTTTGTGTTATTACACCTTTATCCTAAAAGTTATAAAACATTTACAGGTAAAACCAACTAACTTTTTTCTTATATGGCTTACGCTTTAAATTAATTCCTTAATGATTGTATGATTACATAAAATGCAGTTACTTATTTGCAGCTTACCCACCATTAATCATAAACCATACAAAACATCAAAAATCTTGGTAAAACTGCATTTTAGCAATTGACATGTAAAACCGACTAACTGCACGACTTTACCTAAAAAATTCCATATTTAAAGATTTCTATCACACATGTTTATTCTAACTACACAAAAATATAATCTTAAATATATATTCTAACATATGACTGCTAATGTATGTGGGACCTACCAACATTTTAGTTACTAAATCAAGTGTAAACTTTTAAAACTCTTTAACTCAAAACTATCTTTGCTGAACTTAGCAGGTTTTTGCAGTAAACCCTCGATATATATAATCATTGGGACGACAAAGAAAGATAGTGCTCTTTGACTCGCCTTTTGAACACGGACACTGATTGAGCCTCTCGAATTGCAGCAGGAAGAGAATTCCATAACCTAACTGCATGTACTGTAAAAGAGTGAGAATAGGACTTGAGGAAGGGAAATTTAGGAGGGTTTTTAAATGTGATCTGCAAACTGCATCGGGGGAGTGCGCAAAGTGGAATCGATCACGTAGATAGGGTAGTGATGTTGGATTGTATAGTATGTTAAAGAGGAGGCATAGGATTCGGGTATTCCTGCGAAGTCGGATTGGGAGCCACTTGAGCTGTTTGCGATAGGAGGAGACGTGGTCATACTTTTTTAGTCCGAAAATATAACGAATACATAAGTTTTGCAAGCGCTCAAGTTTGTTTAATTGCTCCTCAGTCGCATCCAAATAACAGACATCAGCATAGTCAAGAATCGGAAAAATAAGTGTTTGGACAAGAGAAATTTTCTTTGATAAGGGCAGAAAATGTTGAAGGCATTTTAAGGAATGAAAAGTATAATAAATTTTCCTGCTAATTTCTGTGATATGTGCATTCCATGTCAACATGAAATCCATGATGATTCCCAGATTCTTAACCGTTTCTGAAATGCTTAGTGGAATGCCATTAATTTGCAGAGTTGGCAGTGAAGAAAAGTCAAGTAATTTACGAGTAAACCTGGTGCCTATAATCATTGCTTGTGATATTTTAGGGTTTATAACAAGTCCGTATGATCTAGACCACTCATCGATTTTAATTAGATCGTTATTTATTTCAAATAATGCTGAATTTACTTCAGTCACTAGAAAATGACGATACAGCTGCAAATCGTCTGCATAGAGATGGAAGTTTGAAGATATCACCTGGGTGATACAGTTGATAAAGATGGAAAAGAGTAAAGGAGAAAGGACGCCACCTTGAGGTACACCCGTGGCTAGATTGCACCACTTGGATAAAGTTTCATTGATACGAATACACTGAGAGCGGCCACGGAGGTAGGAATCAAACCATTGAATAGCTGAAGGAGACACATTAATAGAATGAAGAATGCTAAGAAGTATATCAAAATCAATAGAATTGAAGGCAATACTAAAATCTAGCAGCACAAGTACCGTTAAATATTTTTGGTCTATACCGCACCGAATATCATCCGTTACCTTGAGGAGAGCAGTAGTTGTACTGTGACCAAGCCTTAAACCAGATTGAAAAGTACTTAAGATATTGTTACGGTTAAGAAACTTGGTGAATTGTGTGCGGACAATATGTTCAAGCACCTTTGAAAGAAATGGTAAAATGGAAATAGGGCGGTAATGTGTTGCAGATAAAGGATTCGAAACTTTAGGTATAGGAATAATATGAGCTAACTTCCATGACGACGGAAAGCAACAAGAAGATAAAGAGAAATTAAAGATATGAGTAAGAATAGGGAAGAATCAACGTAATCATTTTAGAACAGATGTTATCATTTCCCATAGCAGTAGATGAAATTGCAAGGACGGATCGCATAGAATCATCTTCTTCTTTTTTAATTTTATTACCTCTTAACTTTTTCTGCATGAACCGATTTCGATAATTCTTTTTTTATTGGAAAGCTGGTGCTTCACATATGATCCCATATAAATTTGATCAAGATCTGATCAATTAGTTTTGGAATTATTCTTAATAATTTACTTAATAATTCGGTTGTACAACATTTTAAATTAGGTATTGAATTAACTTCTTCAGAATAAATACAGTTTCAATTTGCACATAAGGCACGGAAAGGTTTTTCTTCTCGATATACAATTACATCATAAATTCACAAAAAATAGATTTTTATCTGGTACACACATATTTATATAAAACACGTTTACACAATATTGTACATATTTTTTCAGATAGCTCACGAAAAAGGTTATGCTCTAGTGTGTGTTTTCATATGAGTTTGCAAATTACTTTTTCTAATACATCTATATTCACAGATATTACATGAAAAAGGTTTTTCACCGGTGTGTATTTTCATATGGGTTTGCAAATCACATTTTCTAATAAATCTATGGTCACAAATATTACACGAAAAAGGTTTTTCTCCAGTATGTATTTTCATATGTGTTCGCAAACGACTTTTTGTAATAAAACTATATTCACAAATATTACACGAAAAAGGTTTTACACCAGTGTGTATTTTCATATGGGTTTGCAAATCACATTTTCTAATAAATCTATGTTTACAGATATTACACGAAAAAGGTTTTTCACCAGTGTGTATTTTTATATGGGTTTGCAAATCACATTTTCTAATAAATCTATGTTCACAGATATTACACGAAAAAGGTTTTTCTCCAGTATGTATTTTCATATGTGTTTGCAAACTACTTTTTGTAATACATCTATGTTCACAGATATTACACGAAAAAGGTTTTTCTCCGGTATGTTTTTTCGTATGTGTTTGCAAACGACTTTTTGTAATACATCTATATTCACAGATATTACACGAAAAAGGTTTTTCACCGGTGTGTATTTTCATATGTCTTTGGAAATTACTTTTTGTAATACATCTATATTCACAAATATGACACGACAAAGGTTTTTCACCGGTATGTATTTTCATATGTTTTTGCAAAATACTTTTTGTAATACATCTATATTCACAGATATTACACGAAAAAGGTTTTTCTCCGGTATGTATTTTCATATGTGTTTGCAACTCACTTTTTCTAATACATTTATATTCACAATTATTACAACAGTACATTTGTTTAGCTACGTGCGCTTTAAGATGTGCCAAAATGTAACGTTTTCGAGATGTTTTAAATCCGCAAATATCACAATTAAATATTTCTGTTTGTTGTGGTACTGGAGTTTGTTCTACTTGTGTCCTAACTGCAGTGGTGTCAGAGTTCTTTTGCGTCTTATGAATGTATGAAATGTGTTTTTCGAAATTGTCTTTTGTTGAAAACTTTTTACTACAACCATCACATTCATTTTTCATTATCTTTGCAGGGCGCTTCCTTTTTTTATTGATTGATTGATTATCTTTTTTTATTTTAGGGTTTGATTTAATAGTAGGGCCTTCAAAATCAAGGTTTTCTTCACGAACATCGTTTATGTTACAATCAGTAGAATTTGATTTATTCTTCTTCTCAGAATTTTCTGAAAAATTATTTGTCAAAGTTAAACTTTTTATTTATTGTAAGTCATTGCATCTTTATTGCAAAACACCTTAAGCGGTTTACAAGTTACAACTGCCGGAGTTTATGCCTTATGGCATTCTCTATCGGTTAACCCAGGGAGAAATAGAGAAATTGTAATATTTTACATAATTATCCTAAATAATACTGCTAGATATAAAGTATTTTAGCCAATTACTCCAAATAATGTCTCTCATATTTAACAGTGGTAGAGCCATGCGGCAGCTTTTGCTGTCGCACGGATGGGCCGGCTCGAACCGGGGTGGTACCACGACCTCACAGAAAACCAGCGTGAAGTAGAGGTTTGTCTCTGCGTTTCGCTTGGTGAGTGCAGGTGGCCGGAGGCCCTTTTTTCTGGAAATGAGGCATTCCATCTTAGTCCTCACGGGTGACAACGCATCTACATTTTGATTTGTAATAGAGGATAGATGTAGATGTCTATGGGCCGCAGCAACCACTTACCATCAGGTGGACGGTGTGCTCGTTTGTCACCCTCATCCTATAAAAAAAAATCATTTTTGAGGGAAAGAACGGTTCTTCTGACCATGTTATAATTACATTAATCTAATAATCGCTGTACACAAGCTATACACACAGTACACAGTAATTAATGTGAACATCTTCAATGTACCTTAACCAAACGCAAATAAATATTTGATTTCATTAAATTTACAGTAGAAGTTGGCGTATAAGTGCGGCATAAGAGAATTCATCATCACATTTTGTCCCATGGGTTTCGTAAGATATGACTATGGGTTTTCCAGAAAAATCTGATGGCTTCTGACAGATGGCTGTTAAACCACCTCGTTTACTTCAAGGCTGTCTTACATGAACTTGGAACGACACCTAAGGAGTAAGAGAATATGACATAAACATAATAACATGAATATAACACAACAATTGCATCATAACTTTGTAATATATACTAATATAGTATAGTGGAAGGGTTTTTTTTCATAAGGAATAGTATAGGAATAATATAGCATTAGGCTACAGCTCTCAATTAACCTTAAATATTGATTTTTGCTAACCCGTCATTTTATTTTTGACGCGCCAAACGTCAGGACCTGTACGGAAGGTCTCCAGATACTGGCAGGCACTAATGTAAAAAGCTTAACATTCCAAGCTAGACGCCGAGCAACAATGAAAAGACTTGCATGAAAGTAAAAAAAAAACCTGCTATTCCACATTTATTCCTCTATTGGAAAACAGCGGAGAGAAACATAAATAGAACTGGAACGATAATGAAAAATCGTATTCCTAAATACGAGGGGTGATCCAAAAGTGATTATAATCAGTTGTTTCCAGTGCATATAAAAATCTAAAAAGAATTTTTTTTGCTTGCTTATGTATCCACTAGATCAGAATAAAAAAAATCACATAAATACTTCTTTAAATAAATTTTATTTATTTAAAGAAAATTATAAAACATTAAATACGTCTTTCAGCAATTGACCTTCTTAATTATATGTTTCTGTATAATGAGTATTATAAATTACTTAAGTTGTTTTTGTATAATATGTTTGTATGTAAGTATGCTTAAAATGTATGTATTATGTATTGTTTAAAATTATGTATGTTTATGTATCATGTATAGAGTATAGTATTTATGTTATTTGTAGTTATATATATTTATTTTTGTATTTACAAGTATAGTATGTATATGTTTATATTTACATTCACGTATATATTCTCAAGTTTTTATGGCACCTGCTTAAGTTTCTCTGTTTAGCTCGTGGTTGACTGGTAGAGAATGCCTAAAGGCATTAAGTCCGCCAATTGTACATCTTAAGTGCAATAAAGATTTTTAAATAAATAAAATAAAAATAAATAAGCTACGATTCCCGAGAGGTATATTTATTTGAATACGAATCATCAAAGAGAAAAATTAAATGAGAGCTCCCTCTGTTTAAAAAAATATCTACCAGACATACACAGCGACTTAGTGAAACATTGAGGAACTCCGCTCCTTCCACAATTGCACGCTGGGCCTAGGAGGTTAAGCTGGGCAAAACAACCACGGAAGATGAACATCGCAAAGGACGCCCATCCACATCCCTCACTGAATATAACGTGAAAAGAGTCGAAGATGTCGTATTGGCTGATCGAAGAGTGACCATCAGGCATATAGCTGAGGTCACAGGTATCTCATATGGCAGTGTTCAAAGAATCTTTGCGAACGAATTGTATATGAAAAGGATCTCTGCGCGTTGGGTACCGAGTAAGTTAACCGACAAGTAAAAGAAAAAAATTAGTCGACATTTCGAGGGTGAATCTCTAAAGGTTCTCCAAGCAGATCAGATTTTTTTATAACGTTTCGTGACTATGGGCGAGACCTGGATCTACCATTTCGATCCTGAAACCAAACAACAATCAACGGTTTGGAACCGAGCGTCCTCCCGACGCCAAAGAAATTCAAAGTAAAAAGTTCGGCGGGAAAGGTTATGGCGTCCGTTTTTGGGGACGCTCAAGGAATAATTATGGTGGCATATTTGGAAAAGTGAGCCGTTATTTCGGGCTTATACTCTCGACTACGCAGGCCAAATAAGAAGATTGCAGGAGGCTATTAAAGAATAAGATCCGGCAAATTGCGAGCTGGAATGCTATTTCACCAAGACAACGTTCCGGCTCACAAAGCCGCAGTTGCGATGGCTACCATTCAAGAAACAGGATTTGAACTGTTTGAACACCCGCCCTATTCACCAGATCAAGCTCCCAGTGACTTTCTATTTCCTCGGCTGAAGGAACACCTTCGAGGCAAGAAATTTGCAAACAATAGCGAATGATGAACACTGTTTAGGCTTTTTTGGAGGATCAAGATGAAGATTTTTTTTCTAAGGCAATTCTGGGTTTAGAACAAAAATGGACAAATGCATTGACTTGTTTTGAGACTATGTGGAAAAATAAAATATTTTTTAACAATAATCACCGTGATAGTGAGACCATTGATAGTGAATATTAAATCACTATCAATAATTACTTTTAGATCACCCCCGTAATCACATCCTACAAATAAAACCAAAGCGAAAAGTTGACTGAAATCGAGAAGAAAAAACGGCAGAGGTTGCTTTAGGTGGTGGAAGACAAGACAAAAAGATTATTACATTGCGAAAATCCATTATATTAAACACTAGGTGATAACCGCTCGCTTTGCTGGGCGCACGATATTTTATTGCGGAACCTAGATGTGACTAAAGTAATTAAAGAACAACATTTTGTATGTACAGTACATCTCCAATTACATGATGCAAGAGGAACTTGTGGTGATTTATTTTTTATTTTGTGATACAGGTTTTTTAACATAAATTCTTTTACCTATGTCATCGTCTTTTTTACTCTTTGAACCAAATGCAATTAGTGGCAAGTCGTTCTCCGAATCCGTATGTCTATCTTCAAGAGCATCAATCTCCAAGTCTTCTTGTTTTTCAGCAGTCTCTAGAATGAAACAGATTCTGACTTAATATATAAAATAAGTACTGATATTTTTTTAAGCGACTAGATCATTACAGTCCATCACAAAGCTTATGGGCCTGAGCCACCCATTTTCATTAACCATACTGCATGTCTAAGTGTAATAAGCTGAAGTGGCAATGGGCCGAAGAACTGACAACCGATGGGGAAAAGAGGCTTTTGAGTGGCAGCCTCGTACCAGTAGACGAAGTATAAGGCAGCTCCCCACTAGATGGAGTGACGCCATGCAGGAAGTCGATGGATGCAGGTGACTAAGGCCCGTGCTTTGTGGCAGTGCTAAAGAAATTGGCAAATACAAGTTGCTTACCAGTTGTAAGTATATCATTCATTGCTATGAAATTAATCCATCTTAGTGACATATATGGCTGCATTTATACAGGGTCAAAATATTTTAAAAATATATTAATGCATTAAAAAAATGTCTAAGGAAGCTCATTCCTTTACATTGACAATTATTTATTTATTTAAACTAAAAACTATCATGACAGGAATAACCTAATTCGACAGTGTAGTTCTTTTCTTGTATACATAACAAACATGTGGTCATTGACTATAACAAATTATAAACAATCCTGCCCTAGTTCATTCACTCAAGGTGTAACAGAATAGGTCAATGTCTTCAGCCATTCTATTAAGAATGCGTAACGTTCGCGTTAAAGGCACCTTGGCGAATAAATTGGTACCAGTCTGGAACACACGGCCTAATCCGCCCCAATATGTCACTATAATATTATTTTGTGTCCATGGACTACAGTAACCAATTGCCATTAGGTAACTTGTAGCTTATTTTAATTATATTACAAAATGTGCATATCTTACCTATTTCATGATTCCCATTTTCTTCAAATTTGGAATTCTCATTTTC